GCATCGATATTAAAGTCAATGATTAGGAGTTGTATCGAAAGAAACTATGCACAAATGAATAAAAGAGGGAAAAAACCGAGAAATCCTCCGAAGACTCCGCGAGTTTAAATACTAGGCCCTAGCATAAAGCGGAGTGATGCGACGTGCTGCCAGCACGGAACGCGCACTGGCGCCTACAAACCTAAGCAGATACTTCACGCATTGCGCAATGCTTGAGGTATCCCTTAGGTTTGTAGGCGCCAATGCGCGTTCCATGCTGGCTGGCTGGCCGCGCCGCAGCGTGCCACGTGCCACGGCGCTTTACTGTTTCACAATAAAGGTGTTGTACAATATTATACGAAATTCCAGGCACTCCAACAAACCAACAATAAAAATGACAGGCATCCTTCAAGAGTACGGAACTTATTCCTTGCAAAATGAATCGAGGTAAAAGAGATAAAGAAACATTCTTGAGTATGCCGTCAAGAAGATTTTATTTTGAATCAAGAATAAAATAGGTGAACAAAAGCAGGTTTTTGCTTGATGTAAGCGACTTTCCTTTTTCAAAAAGCGTCTTTTCTTCTTCAAGAAAACATTATTTTCTTTATTAACTGATAAGGAAATCTTCTCGGCGGTAAAGAGGATATTTCTCCTTAAATTATGTCACTTGTTCCTCTAATGAAGTTAAAAATCATACTAAATGTTATTGAATACAGATACTAGGACAGTAAGTTTTTCGACTACTGCTCTCTTTTTGTTGCCATCACTCGATTTAAATTTGCGAGGGAACTTCGTGCTTTTGCAAGATGCCATCAATCATGATACGTTGGGGTGCCTTCGATCTCATATGATACTGTGCAACACCTCCGTGGCGAAATAGTAGCTGTAAGCGCTGCGGCAAATCAGTGCCGAAGCGAAGTTATCATGCACAGGAAAAATATGAGATCCTTTAGCTGAGGCAAATCAAAAGGTTTTCCAGTTCAGGTATAAAAATATGGGATTTTTTTGAAAGATAATTGGACTGAGTTAAGCAGAAAGGAACCAACCCACATTTTGGAAAAAATTGAGTTATGAGTGGTTTTGAACTCAACCACTGCTCTACTATCTATCACCAAAAATTCTAGGTTTTTGTTGGAGAACATTTTGCAGAAATTGAACTTGAAGTTTATCTTTTACATTGAGTCTTATGCAGGAGCCAAACTTTAAACCTCATTTTCTCGCTTCGATCCCGATGTGGCTTGGTTCCTTTCTGTTTAACTCCGTCCAATTAAGTCTTGTTGTAACAAATAGGTGTAGAGAGTTTTAGTGAATTTTCTCTCATGGAAATGACGCTCCCTCATTTTTACCAAACATCTCAATTATGTGTTTTTCTCCGTTGGAGCAAACAAACAAAAAAAAAAAAAACAAGCAAACCCTCATTCCTCCAAGACATTAAGCATTTTCATCCAAAAACGTCGTGAGCAATTGTCGTTTGTATTTACATGTGGACCAATTAACTTTGGGCCTCAAGTGGTAAGTGGACCAAAACTCCCCTTCCGAAAAAACGCGTGGACGTAAACTACTGGAAAAAACAGGTGCGCGGACAAAAAATTGTTGACGAAATGTCCTATAACCCTGACGTCACTGGCGCTCTAAAATCCCCATTCATCCTTATGGCTCAAGTACTAACGAGCACACCTCATCTTTCCACTTGCACATAGTTCCATTTAGCATACATCCAAATATTTCGTGCGGTGTGTGCGAATAATAGGCGCTTAAAAAAGCCCCGCGCGCCCATACAGTCGGAGTGTAAACGATAGGCATCTGTTACTTAGCATCCCGGTTAAAGCAAATTGATTCGTGGGCATTTGAATTCCCCCTTTTTGCCGGTGGGGTAATTGGAAACGCGAACGCCTACGAAGCTTTTCCCGATGGCCGAGAACCCGCGACCGCGGGAACCAATATTCAAAATATTGGTGGATTGCCAAAACAACTTTCCAAGTGGGTAGATCCGCCTTGAGGGTTGCGGGCATGGTTCGCGGCTCCGTGCTATTTAAGTTTCATTCTTATTCTGTTTGCTCGGGGCGTTCCTGCGAGCTCGGAAAGTTCGGCGTCCACCGCTCAAATCACGGAACTTGTCTTTGTGAGCGCCCGTGGGACTCGGTGTCCCCGCTAAGAAGCCGCGACTCAAATCAAATGACCGTGTCAAATTTCGTTTCTCTCCGGGAGTTTGACTCCCAGAGAGATCGGCATCCAAGGGAAGGAAACTGGGTTTCTCACCTTGTCTGTTTCAGCTCATTTAAATGTCATGCGCTTGCTTAAATTGAAAATCACATCGGAACTCAACTAGTTAAGAATTGATCAGGCTTTCTTATCTAGTGGGCTGATTGTTGAAATTGATAGACAAAGCTATGGGCAAAGAAGACAAAAGAGGTACGGAGAGATCCTATCGGTGAAAACGGGTGGTTGCAATGGACATGAGAAGTACGTTATAGACCAACTAACGGCAACCCATGAGAAACCCTATAGTTAGTCCATCATTTACCCCCTTAGTCTATAAAAACCACCAATTTCAACCAACATGATCACTCCATACTCCCTATGTCTTCTTTGTCTATCGCTTTTTCTACCAATTTCAAGAATCAGCCCTTTGGCGGCTTGTGCACAACCTCGTTATTTTGATCGTTAATCACCGAATATTAGACGATAAATGATTTTAGGAACCGCCCCTGAATTACGTAACGCACTTTTCCGGCATTTTTAGCGGCGGATATTACTATCCTTCAACGCGTAAAAACAAAATGGCGTAACACTCTCCTCAACCCCCCTCCCGCCTAGAGTGTTTCATAATTTGGGGTCGACTTCTCAGTTCATTCCCGTTTGTGACGTTACAAGTCTGTGATCCCTTCCTTCTTTCTTTTTTTTTACCCGCAATTAGCTTTTCTTAACATCTTCCGTAATTTTTTTTCATTCAAAATACCAATAAATACTTTTATCGATTTTTTTATTGGCTTTTTTTTTAAAAATGAAACATACTTGAAGATTTTGAAACAATTTCAGATACACATTCTTTAATTTCAGCCACCTATGTAAGACGATATTTACTTATAGTTGATCATTCTAATGACAGATAGTCAGTAGTTTGGGTTACACGAGGAAAAACTATTTTTGTTTGTCTGACTAGATAAAGTATCACGATCGATTTTACCAATCGCGATCACGGTAGTTTCAACTTTAATCTGTCGCTCGCTTTCAACGGTGCCTCGTTAATTCGTTTATATTTACAAGATAAGCTCTTGCGTCAACGTACCTTTCAATATCGAGATTATTTTCATTAATTTTGAAAGACGCATCCTTACAGCCCCACGCCGATGAATAAACTATTCCAGGAATTTAAATCTAGCGGAAAGCTTGCGTTGAACTTTCAACCGTCCGAGATTCGCAATTAACTTTTCCCTTGTTTATTGAATCCAATTCCCAAGGCATCTTTTAAACATTGAAATCTTTGCCCTCGCTCATCACCTTCAGTGCTGCGAGACTTCGCGCAGAATACCTGAATGATCTGGAAGACAGTGGCGAGGCGCGAATGGTCGATTATCGATATGTCCCCACCTGTAGCTATGGTACAGAATCGATTTTTAAGATATTCGTTGCGAACATCCTGTCTTTCGATTCTTTTCCATGGGTTTAAATGGCAGATCACTTAATGTATCGCAAAGCACGCAACGCTGCTGATGAAAGAGGAGAAGAAGGGACAAGAGGGATATAACGAAAGGCAAAAACTAAGTAGGTGTGACCGTCCCACGGGAAAAGGGACCTCCGTATAAAGGGGCGAAATATTCAGTTGAGAGACTTTTGTCGAGATGGGTCGAAAAATTTAATTTTGGGATTTCGACGGGAAACTCTCTCTAATGCCCTACATAAGGGCCCCGGGAGCAGTTTCGTTTATTTCGCGGAAGTAGAGAGCGTTTACTCGCATTATAATCTGACAGTTTGGTGTCCTGAAACATGACAGAATAAAATTTGAAATTGCTTTTCCACGAAACTACGCTCCTTAAAGTGTAAACTTCAAAATGCCTTAACTCTGGTTTGGTTTGACATTCCTGGTATTTTTAATCCCGAAATTTTCGTAGAGATCACCCATCCATATGCTCAGGTGTACCAATAACTAAATTTTGATTTGTTATGTGGACTACATTTCCTTGTCCCCATAGACGAGGGAAAAAACACAACATGTGTCCAAAATCAGTTTGATGTGATAAAATTTTGATCAACGATTTCTGATGATTGATGACGCAGACTGACAGACAACTGGACGTATTTCTACCAAACAGAACTATGTGCATTAAGACATGAGCCCTGAGACCCATAAGAATATATGCATAACAGGGCTCAAGTCATAATGCACATAGTTCCATTTGATAGAAATACGTCCAACTATTAAATTGCACTAAATGACCTCATCACACAATTGTACGATGATTGAATGATGAAAGTGTTTGTGAATGCTCGGAAATGGGAGTGGTTTGCAGTGGCGCATGGCGTGGCGAGCTTTGCGATATATCGATTGTTATGCCGTTTAAACCTATGGAAAAGGATCGATGAACAGGGTGCTTGCAGGGAACACCCTAATAATCGATTCTTTACCATAGGTTTAAGTGGCATAACAATCGATTCACGCCACACCACTGGTGGTTTGTCAAAATTAGTAACGGGTGATAAGTAAAAAAGGTAACTTTTCGAACGAGCAGTCCTGGGTCTAAAACTTGACAACTGAGTTCTATGCAGAAATCGGCTGTGCACAATAAAAAAAAGAAATTAAGTCGGAATAACAACGTGAATATTGTACATTCAAGCTACGCTTAACATAAATCATTAACAATATAAGTTCGAGAGAAGTTACTCTCAGAAAATGCGGACGAAAATACGATGGAACTACTTTAACTCCTTTTCTGCGCACATTCTTCTAAGGGTCAATTTATCTTGTTTGTAAGCCCTGTGATACGTTTGTAATTAACGGAAGGTAAAATGCTCTGTTCCAGACATGTAATTCTAAACCTTGGTTGGCGATCGTCGTGAAGTCCACACGATTCTAATTGCGTAAGTAATTCAGTACTCTCTCATCCTTTTTTTGCTTCAGATAAGCTCACCGCACAGTAAGAATCACATAAGTAATCTTCCATACATCGTCTGCAGTCTCCGTCCAAGGTATTACAAGCGCTACCTCTCCAAATTTCTGCCGCCATTTTTCTACCGAGAAATTATTCATCGAAGCCGTTCGAAAATCTCACTGCATTTCATCGGCAGCACAAGGAAAATTCAGTGAAATTTTCGAGCAGCTTTGTTGAACAATCGCTCTGTAAAAAAAATGGCGGCGAAAATTTTGAAATTTCGCATGGCGCTTGTGATACTTCGGCCGCAAAGTGGCGATATACAATTTTAATTGATTGCAGCCATTACCAACACTGCTGTATCTTTACAAATGAAATATAATTTTCCCTTTGTGTTATATTCTCACACACAATGCGATGCAATTCCGCTGCCGTTTTTGAAAGGTGTTGGCAAATCGGAGAACATTGCAGTCAAATAAAAAGAAAAATTTCCTGTAGTCTCGGAGTCTCTGTAGGACGTCTTGTTAACATTTTCCTCGTTGGATTTCTCTTTAAGACTATACCGGAATTTCCATTGCACTGGAGAAAAAAAACACATTGGATAGAGTCCAGACTCTTAAAAACATCGACAAGAAAAAGTACTATTGATTTAACCAGAATCTAACTTAAATCAAGAACCAATTATGCCTCTAAAATTTAAGCGGATTTCGTTTTGATTCAAGCAAAAATCCGATTGAATTAAAAGTATTTTTTCTTGTCAATGTTTTCAAGAGTCTGGACTCTAGATCCAATGTGTTTTTTTTTCCAGTAAGCTCCGATGAAAAAGCTATCACGACGTTCACGAATCCCATCATAAATCGCGATTTTATCGAGGATAATCGCTGAAATGTTGATGATCCAAGCGATTCTATCGCCGATAAAATTGCGATTTTCCCGTTGAAAAATGCTACTTGAGAAGTCGCATTTTCCGTTACTCGATCACATGCTTAAAGTCACTTTCGAGATGAGGCTCATTGATTAATCTGAAAAAGTTTCGAGGCGAATTTTCCTTGGGCTGAATAATTAAACAAATAAGCGAAGGGATGTTTGATCAGGGAAGCCTGGGATGTCTCCCGCTAAGCCTCCGCCTCGGCGTCATGTAGAAAAACGATGGAGCGTAACTCTTCCCCGGTCTAATTTCGTGTAATCAAGGGGAACCAAGTTTGGTCGCAAAACATCCACTTAAAAACGACGAATCCAGACACATCGGAAAAGTTCCTGGCTGAAAGAAGTGTTTATTTGAACGCGCAGAGAGCAGGTTTTGCCCTGGGTGCCGCTCCGGACTCAAAAAGCATAGACTTCCTCTGATTCCCGGTTACAATAATAAGTTTTTTTAATGCGGGTTGGCAACATGGCACGCGCAAGCAGTATATAAATTTCAATAGGAAGGAGAGGAGCGTAGTTTGTAAGCTTGACAAACGTTCTTTCGTGGGTGAAGCGGATAAAATTGAAAATGCGACGCGAATTCGCTCAAGACTTGGCAAATATTTGTACTCGCCGAGGTTTCCGTGTTTCACGCGTCTTCGATTTGACTCTCGTCGAGTTGTCAGGTCGGTCCATGTTACGATCAGATTTTACTATCCATCATTTCAAATGAGGATTCAAAACGAATTCAAAGGAAAAAAGCGAAAGTTTAAATCTAGCTGTTTCTAAGCACGAAAGAACGATAAAATTGGGGAATTTTTTTTCGCACATCTCATTGGTGCCTGTAACCTTTAAGTCTATCGACGGTGAAACTATGTTTTATTTCCTACCATTTGTTTGTTTTCAGTCCTCCTAAAAAAACTACTCATTTGCTGAATACACTTCTGGCTAGAGCGCACTTAAGCTATGCATTCATGATTGCAAAAATGTTAACGGAAATCGAAAAGGCCAGCGTGCATGAAGACTATTTCAATTGTAATCTTCCGTCACATTTCTAAGGCGCAATGATACAACTATTTGAGCTCTCCGGAATGCGTAAGGTATCACGCCGCATTTGAAGGCGTTTTCAAAACAGCCAAGATCCGATACCCGGATTATCGTTTTGCAAAGTTCCTAGACCACATATCTCGGATTGCGACGTTGTAGACTTCTTGCCATACTTCATGGAAAACTACTTAGCGCCACTACCACTTTACTACTACTACTTTATAACAAACGGAAAACTACTTAGCGCCAATTTTTGAAAAGATTCATGATTTTTCTTCTCTGAGCGAAGAAAACTCTATGAAAACTTAGGAAATGATGCTGATTTACTCTCTTTTGAAATAATAAAATGGGAGCGGAGATTTTTAAACACCGCAAACGAGACAAGTGGGTAAGTACGTCGATATTTTTTGTAATTATAGGCCCGAAGAGGCGAATATATATTGATTCCATACTCATACTTTTGTTTAAAGGAAAAAGTTGTGATTTGACCTCTTCACAGTCCTAATATGCAATTATTGATTTTCGGCGCGTTTACGCAGTATACGCCTTTTCCACTCCATTTTAAATTTGTATAGTCATTTTACTCAAATTTTAAGTCACTCACTACTGTCTCTGTCTTTGCAACATATTTAAGATTAATGCTTAATCAAGCTGAAAATGATGCTTTTTGGGTAATACGTCATTTAACTTTTGATTTTGTTTATCTCTAAAAGATTTCTGCAAAATGACCTTCCTTGATTATTTAATTGTGAATGCCGTGCCATTTGAATTCACTGTCTCTCTTGGCAACTCATACAAAAAGAGATCGTTATTTTATAACAGTGGCATTGAAGATGAGACATTGTTTACTAATCATTTACTGGCAGTCATTAAGAGTAGCAGAAACCCTTAAAAGTTCGGTGTGACGGGAGAAAAAAATCGAGAGTGAATAGAATGAATATAGTGTAATTGGAAAGAAGTCAAGCATTAAATTCGATTTCTTCAGACCAGTTTTGAAGCAAATTTTAAATCTACCTTTTCTAAGTACTTAAAAAGGTGCAAACTTGAACGAACGATCCGTGGCTAAATAGTTTTCCCGGCAAGAACACGGAAGTTATAAGTTACTTTTGTGAGAGGGCTGGCAGGATTGATTTTGTCGGAGAAACTTTGACTTCGATTCAGAGTTCCGTATCATAGTTCAAAACTCGTAATTGATCATGAAGTCTTGAAAATAATTCTCTACTCGATACCTGTGCGAGTAAATTAAGTGGAACATCGTGCAATTGAGTTTCGAAACGTTGTCTAGCGGTCGTAAATTTTTAAGGAGCATTATTCTATTCCTCGTAATTTTGATAACTCAATTTGTCTCTAAGTAAATGCATCCTATGGGCAATATTAATGGTGCTTGCGATTGGCAAATGGATTGAACGAATCCTAAAATATGTTGTAAATTTGCTCTAAAAATGTGTAACTGTAGGAAACATTGACGATTTGCAGTTGCCATGAGCATTTTGTTGAACGACTCTTGTTTAGCTTTCTTCATGCACTAAGAAGAATAGTTCGGTCTCACGAACCTAAGTGGATACTTCACGCATTGCACAATGCTTGAAGTATCCACTTAGGTTTGTAGGCGCCAGTGAGCCTCTCGCGCTGGCAGCACGCTGCTCTGTTCGGCTTTAATATTTAGACTCACATAGTCAGCGTTTTTTAACTCATGATTATGAAATTTTAGCACACTCTGTATTGATTATTCTCATTTAAATTGATGGAAAAAAAATGTGTATCAATTTATCAAAGGAGAATAATAATATAATGTGTGTTTTTTTAAATGTTGGTGGTTCCGTGTCAAGTTCAATGATTTCCAAAGCACTATCATTTTTTCTTTTACATTTTGTGCTTTTATTGTGCTGCAGCGAGGTGTACGCGCAACGAAACGCTCAAAATGTGACATATTTGACTCTAAAAGATCGATGTACAAATGGGTTAAAACTAAAGATTGCGTGCTTCTTGGTTTTTTCCCCTCTTTTATTCATTTTTGCAGTTTCTGTCGGCACTGACTATGCGAGTATAAATATTAAAGCCGAACAGAGCAGCGTGCTGCCAGCGCGAGAGGCTCACTGGCGCCAAAACCTAAGTGGATACTTCAAGCATTGTGCAATGCGTGAAGTATCCACTTAGGTTCGTGAGACCGAACTATTAAATTAAATATGGGTCTCAACTGGCACGTGGACCAAAACTCCCGTTCCGAAGAAAACGCGTGGACGAAAATTACTGGAAGAAACAGGTGCGCGGACAAAAAATCGTTGACGAAATGTCCTATAACCGATTTTGTTCACTAAGTGTAAGCAAAATGTAATCATCACCAACAGGAAGTTTTTCCCTTAGAGTTATTTCTCTTAGTATTTTTTTGCCTCATTTACACTATTAAATCGTTTTTCGTGCATAGCGAATATCTAATTCTTGAATGATAATTACGCTCCAAAAAAATCTCTTACAATTAAAAAATGTGCCCTCCTTGCAATTGCAAAAGGTTTTGCTAGGTCTTGTCCGCCAAATTCCTAAAGCAGTGGGATGAATATGGACCAATTGAATTGCTCACCAATTTATCTTCGTTTAACTTGATCAATACAGCCTTTTTGCGATGATGTTGTTTCTCAATAATTTATTAAAGATGGAATATTTTAAAAAGGACCATAGCGTGAGCCAGGGGGAGAACAAACTAAAGCAGCGGACAAATATGGAAGTGGATCCAGCAATTAGGCAACACCGGATTTCTTCCATTTTAACCTGTGCTAAATAATCGATTCTTGTCGGAGCACCTGGCTCCTCCAAGAATCGATACATTTCCATAGGTTTAAATGGAGAAAACACAATGTTACCAAGTTGCTGGATCCACCAATGGTCAAATAAAAATCCAGGAGGGAAAGTGAATGAGTCTCATGGCATTTCACAAAAACTTTAAATGAAACGGAGTCAAGGACGAGGTAGGATCCAGACAGTGCACTCAATCAATTAAATAATACGTGCCTCTACTACTCTGCCATGTTTAGAGCGAACACC